TTTCCAAATAATTAACATAGGGTTCCTGTCAGCACTGCTGACATGGGGGCTGGGTCATTCTCTGTCGGGGGGGGGGGGGGATCTTCCTGGGCACTGTGGGGGGTTGGTCAGCATCCCCAACCCCCCCGACTCACTTGATCCAGGAGCACCTCCCAAGTAGTGACAATCCCAGATGTCCCCAGACATGGCCAAACCACCCCCAGCTGAAAATCTCTGCTAGGCACTAAGTGGGAAAAATAAAGGCTCTAGGTCAGCACAAATCAGATTTTCTGGCCAAATTATTTTGCTACAATTACTCTGGGAAATCTTCTATGTGCTGAGTATTGGAGTTTGGGAAGTGGGATTGTAGAAAAGGGATTGTATGTCCTTAGCAGAGGACTGGGCACAGTGTTTGACAGAGGTGGTTCCTAAAAACTGCTGCTTCTCCTCTAACCTCATTGAGTGGGGAAGACAGAGAACAGTGTGAACATCTGACTTTAATGCACGGCTTTAAGATGAACAAACTTTCTGCTCCTCACAGAGCAGGGCCCAGCCTGACACAGGGACAGCACTTTAGCTCAATGACTACTAGGCACTCTGTGTCTTTGGAACAATCACAATTTGTAGGTCTTTGGCTACTGGACAACATTCTCAAAGGCCTACTCTCTCTTAACAGTGAGGCCTGTATAAGCTCTCAGAAAGCACCGCCAGGGCACAGGGTACAGAAATGAGCCTGGTGAGGGTGGGCAGGCACTGCCCCAGGGGTCCCAGAAACAGCTCCTCTTTGGCACCTTCAGAATGCCTTCTAGCTCTCATTCTACTTTTTCATTTTATCATTAAAACAACCCTCAAAACAAAAAGCTTCTATTCCTTTTATTTCCCTGCTCTGATCAATAAAAGGAAAAAATGACATACCTTCCTAAAATGAGTGACCCACCCCTCAAACCCCAGGAAGAAGGAACTTCTGTGGGTGCTCCTCCCACCCACCCTAGGACACCACAGGTACTCAAGAAAAGCTGTCTCAAAGCTAGAACTGGGGTTTACTCCCCAAAGCACAGCCCTGTTTTCTTCTAAAATGCCACCAGGTTGTCCTACACACTTACCCTCGAAAGCTCCCTACATGTAATAAGTGTGCATGCATAGCCCCTCAGCACCGTTGTGTCACCTGCTGGGCTCCAATCCCTCTGTGCTCCACTCAAACCCACTATTCACCCTTCCTCTGATCCACTGGAAAAACTCTTACTCTCTCTTCAACACCAAGCTGCAAGGTCACCTCCTCAAACAGAGCTGGACACCCTCTTTTTCCAGCAAAGACCAAGTATTATTCCCACCTCTAGTCCAGCATCTCCTACAGACTGTAAGCCACAGGACAGATCATTTTCTTTACCCCAGCACTTGGTGGCACTTGATCTATATGGACTCAGGAATGTGAGGTCACTGTCAAATTCAGAGCCACATGACCAGGTTCCTTCGGGAGGTCATTTTCTTTGGGTCTCAGTTCATTCAGTGGAAGACTTTGGTCTTGCCTACCTACCCACAATCCCCTTTATTCCTTCAACCTTCACTGAACATTTCCCACCTCAACCTGACTTGGGTCTTGGCCAAAAAAACATAAGAACAAGTAAGACTTCAGCTCTTTCCCTGGAGCAGAGCTTAACCCCATTTAGAGTCACTCACCCTTTCAGGAATATTGAATTATAAACCTCAGGTGAAATCCTTGGAATGCCAAGGACTTTCCAGACACTGAGCTAAGTGCTGTGCATGCAATGGCTTATTCAGTGGTCAGCAAACATTTTCTGAAAAAGGCCAGAGTAAATGCCTTCAGCTTCACAGCCAACAGGGTCTCTGTGGCAACAATTCAGCACTGCTACTACAGTGTGAAAGCGGCCACAAATAATGTGTATGCCAATGGGTGTGGCTATTTCCACAAACTTCATTTACAAAAACCAGCCTCAGCTGGATTTGACTCCCTGATCAGTTTTCTGAGACCCTGAATTGCTTCACCTAATCCCCATTCTACAGAAGGAAAAACAGAGGCTTAAAAAGGGCACCACTCAAGGTCATCCAGCTAAGACACAAAACAGTGTGGAGCCCAGGTAGTCTGACTTGAGAGTCTAAACTCCAAAGTACCCTTTCCACTTCCTACAAACATGGGTGCGCATGTACATAAAAACTTTTTTATTTTTTTATTTTATTTTTTATCCTCACCCGAGGACATTTTTCCATTTTTTACTCAGATAGAGCGGGAAGGAGAGAGAGGAAGAGAGAGAAACATCGATGTGAAAGGGACACATCAAGTGGCTGCCACCCACACGACCCAACCAGGGCGTGGGACAAACTGCAGCCAAGGTACATGCCCTTAGCGGGAACCGAACCCTGGTCTCTTTGGACCGCAGGCTGACGCTCTAACCGCTGAGCCAAACCGGCCAGGGCCATAAAAACTTTATATATAACTTTTTGGGTTTCACTCCGCAGAGGTCCCACTGGTGAAGAATCACTGGTTGAGGGCAGGGTTTAACTGCTGACATTTGGGGCTGATCATTCTCTGGGCACTGTGGGGGGTTAAGCAGCACCCCTGGCCCTCCAACCACTTGATGCCAGGGGCACCCCAGCTGTGACAACCACAAATGTCCCCATCTCCGGTACCCCTGTGGGGGGTGTGTGTACAAAATCATTGGTCTAGGGAAAGTCAGACCAAACAAGTAATCAAGGATAGAAACAAAAGAAGTAAGAACATCACTGAGACACAGGTTGCACTCATGTTCTGACGCCCAATAACAAAACTAATCATTCTCTAGTGAGCCCTTAACAAATATCAAAAACCTGATTAAAGAATGTTCTCACATAGACTTTAGGAGGCACATACTTTTACAATCCCTGTAAGAAATGTGCTGCTCAGACAGGGGTTAGCGACTTGCCCAAGCTTACACAACCAGGGAGAGGTGGTGCAGCGGGTCCTCAAGCCCAGATTTCTCCCGCTTCTATCACAATATGCAGAAGACCCTAAGTGTGAAATAAAACTAACTGCTAGCCAATTTGAGCTCTCGCTTTGCACTGGGACCTGTGGTTTGAATGCTTCCCAAACCCTTCGCCTGCAAGGTAGGGGCTCTCACAATGCTTGTTTTACAGAGGGGAAAATTGAGGCTCTGAGAAGTCAAGAGGCTGGCCAACGTCACCTACCTGGAGAGCAGCGGCGCTGGGACAGGAACCCCAACCTGAGCCCCATGAACATGTCCCCTCGATTTAAAGGGACCGTTTTTCCCTACAGCAGCGGACACCCAAGGAGCGATCACTCCGTGCGGGGCGCTTTTACTTCCCGCTTTCTACCCACGGACCTGCGAACCAGCATTTCCCAGGCCTGGGGGTCCAGGGGAGGGAAGGCAGGGCCGGTGAGGGCCAGTCCGACGACGCCCGGCCTCAGTTTCCCCTCCGCACCGCCCACTCACAGCACTCAGCGGATCGCGCGGTGACTCCAGCCCTAGACTGACTTCCCCTTAAGGGCCCCTGAGCTTCGGAAGCCCCGAGCCGCGGAAGCGATGCCAGTCCGGCTCAGCGCCAAGCCCCAGACTCACCTCTCAGGCAGCCGAACCCCGACCCACCGACGGCTGCGCCTGCGCACCGCGGCGCAACCCGGCCCCGCCCCCCAGTTGGGACGCCTGCGCGGAAGGAACACGCTGGTGTTTGCTTTGATTCTGCGCAGGTGCGTCAATTGTCCAGGCAAGAGTGGAGGAAGTGACGCAATTTAGAGGCGGGAACAAGCCGGTCGTTAGGGCAACTGACCTCTGCGACCGAATGAAGGCCGAAAATGAGGAGTGACTTGTCTTCTAGAGCGGAAATGGAGTTGTGCATGGTGGGACAGTGGCGGACTCCTGCGGGTAGGAGGAGCCGGTCACGTGGTGCCGAACCGGCCACGTGGTACAGCTGCGTTTGGGTCTCTGGCGTCCAGAGCCGTCATCGGTGCTCCGTGTATGCTAGCAACTGTTATTCACTATCTTTGTTCATTTATTCACCCACTCACCCACAAATGCATTCTTTCGTTTATTCAATCCTTAAGACTTAAAGGAATACAGAAATTGTTCACAGCAGGTGCCTAGTAGTCAACAAATACTTATTGCAAGCTAACTGCAAAGACTAGAAAAGTGTTTGCTCTCATTACTTTGCATTGGGGTAGACGGATTATAAAATAGTAAACTAGTACGTACATTAATGAATTTCACTTAATGGCAAGCACTATGAGGAAAAATAGTGTTGTGGTTGAGATTGGGGAGATAAATTGGTTGGGATGGTTAGTGAGGGCCTTACTTTTTTAATGTGAATTTGGAGGATGAGGAAAATCACTCCAGGTACAGGAACAGTGAAAATGAAGACTAAAGAAGAATTAAATTTGGTGCTCTTAATAGAGAGTGAGTGATGAGAAATTCCCTAAGATGATCAGGAACTGTCCCCTACTAGTGATAAAAGTTGCCAGAAGTGTTCTCTCGATTCGTTTTTATCCTATTTAAAACGCATGTACATTTAATGCCCTGGATTACTTTAATTTTTTCAGAAATAAAAGAAGTGGGCTTTTTGGGGGAGGACAAGTTTAATTGTAGTAAATTTTTATTTCTGCGTGCCTTAGACGGTTCAAGATTTCTTTGTTTGTTTTAACCGTTAACACTAGATATAGGTCAGGTTACTACTGCATTGTTCCAAAACAACTATTGTTTGAAGTTCTGGATCCGTTTATTGAGGCTTTCTCGGTGATAATTGTTTATGTTTCTCTCTCCCTTTCTCTCCCACCCTCCCTCTCCCTCTCTCTGTCTCTTTTAAGGTAGAAAGGAAGCAGGTACAAATTAATACGGGGCCTAGGAGCCCAGGCGAAGTACTAGCAGAAAACTTAAGATGTTCAGAAAGCGTGCGCTGAGTGTGAGGGGAGCGAGCGGGAGCGAGCAGGGGGGTGGGGGTGGGTGGAGCTGGGGCGCGCGTGCGCCCTACCCTCCAGTGCACGCGTACTCCCAGCGTTCAGTGGGCGCGCGGGCGGCGGGTGCCTAAGTCGCCGCGGCGGCGTCCACTGAGCGTACATAGACGGCTGGCTCCAGCAGCTGAGGCGGCCCTACACGTACCTGGTGGAGGGAGAGTACGGAGCTGCACACCCGCCCACCATGAAGCCTCCTTCAGGTACTGGCCACCTCTCGGTGTGGCCCTGCTAGCGAGACATGGGCGCCCCCTGCACCCTCGTTCCTTCGGGGGTCGCGACTTGGGCCTAAGAGCGGAGCCCAGTGACCCTCTGGTGACCGGGGCTCTGGAGAGGAGTCGGCGAGCCCGGGACCTCGTCCTCTCGGTGGCAGAATGAATGAACCAGCTTTTCCAGCGCTTCACTCATTCAGCCAACTTCCTATGGCTTCTGCTCAGGACGGTTCGGGCCCTAGGGTGGACTCTTGGAGAAACCGTGAGATCTAGACGGGGTTCCAGAGCTGGAGACAGACATACGGCAAGCAAAGGAGCAAGTGAGGGTTTTTAGAAAGTGGTCATGCCTGGGCTACCGGCACTTTTTTAGAGAGGGCAGTCCTGAAGAGCTTCTGGGAGGAGATGGGCACTTCAGCCTGGAGTCGATGGGGAGAAGCCGTTGTCTGCCAAGACTTCGGGGAGGAGCGTCCCAGTTGTAGTGACCGTGAGGGCAAAAGCAGGAAGGCCGTAACACGGGTAACGAATTTGGAGAGTAATACGTCATTTTGGCTAGACCACAGCTCTTATTTTAAGGGCAAATGGGCGCTAATGGAAGGATTTTCATTGGGAGCTATGTGGCCTGTTTACTGTATTTTAGAAAATCACCCAGGTTGTTGTCTGGTGCCTCCTGGAATTTTCCCTTGCCTGCCTGTCCTCCCCCAATTCTTTCTCCTGCTTGTTGTGATGGTGATGATGATAATTGTATTAATGATAATAATTACAACTAGGGTTGTGGAAGACTTCGGAAGGCAGAGAATGTTGTCTGCCTTGTTCTCTGGAGGATTGTTAGCTTGGAGACAGGTACACAGGTGGTAGTCAGTAAATATTTATGGAATTAATGCATCTGCTCAAGTTTTCTAAATTCCAGCTCTTCCAGGAGGTTTTTCTGACACTTCCAGCTCACGTGAATCTCCTACCACTCCTGAGTTCCTGGAGCCCTTCTTTATTACCATATTTAATGCAGACCAACAATCCCTTTTTGGCATTTCTGAGATTTAAAATACTTTGCAAACAAAGACTTTCCCTAAGTTCACAGCAGTTATTTAGCCAGAAAATCTGATCTGTGCTGACTTAAAACTTCTTTTTTTTCCCCTTAGTGTATATCAGTGGTCCTCAGCTGGGATGATTGTGCCACCCCTAGGGATCCTGGGCGATGTCTGCAGACACCTGTGGTTGTCATGACTTGGAATGCTCCAGGCATGGGCGGGGGGGTTGTTGGGAGTGGGTGGGTGGGGTGGGGAGGCCAGGGATGCTGCTTTGCATCCCAGAGTGCCCAGGACAGCCCCACCCCATAGAATGACCCAGCCCTCAATGTTGATAGTGCTGTTCCAAACCCTACCCCAAAGATACCAAACACGTTCGAGCCAACAGCACCTTGCAGAGGTCCCCAATGTTCACAAGACAGGGCGTCCAAGACCATTTTGGCCCTGTTCAACTTCTGGCTAGCTAGAAGGGGGAAATGAGGCACAGCTGAATGTTCTCTGGAACAGCCCTTTCTGGTTTATTATGAATTTAACACCCACTTTGTTCATTAAATCAACAAGTATAATGTGGGACAGGTGTCGCCATTCCACATCTTCTATGCTATAGGAATGCTGTAGTGGGGCCTCTCTGAGAAAGGAATGTGGAAGAGAAGACTGGCAGGGTGGGGGCTCAGGTCAGAGAAGACAACCTGCAGGAAGGCCCTGGAGACTGAAGAAGTCCAAATCTGTCATATAGGACCCAGTAGAGTCTGGACAATGTAGATTAGGGATCAGTAAACTGCTCTGTAAGGGGGCACATGGTTTAGACTTGGCTGCCACACACTACCTCCCATGTGAACTCACATTTAGCTTGTAGACTGTACAAAATCAGGCAGGTGTAGACCTTGACTTTGAATGCTGAGTGCAGGGTGGAGTCCTGGGAAAGGAACAGGAAGACCTGACAAACAAATATGCAGATTTACAAAGGTGGGATGAGTAGAGTACACCAGTTCTCAGTGTGGGAGCAGAATCCTACTGAGTGTATGAACCCCACCTTTGCCATTTGTTGACTGTGGGATCATTGTGGCAGGAGCCTTGAATTCTCCAAATCTCACAATTCCCACTCATAAAACAGGCAAACAGGATGCAGAATACAGAGCTGTCTGAGAAGTCAGAGAGAAGAGGGCAAAACATCTTACTCTTTGAACCTTACACAGAAGTTGTCAAGTGACTGCTGTTAGTACAGACCACAGTCTCTTATTTAAAAGTTCTGCCCTGGCTGGGTTTTTCAGTGGTTAGAGCATCGGCCCTCAGACTAAAGAGTCGCAGGTTCAATTCCAGTCAAGGGCATGTACCTCGGTTGCTGTTCCTACTGGCCCTGGTCAGGTTGTGCAGGAGGCAACCAGTCGATGTGTCTCTCCCACATCAATGTTTCTCTTCCTCTCTCTTTTCCTCCCTCCCACTCTATCTGATGATAAATAGAAAAAAATATCCTCGGATAAAGATTAAAAAAAAAAAGTTCTCAGGGCTAGATAATCAGGATTTCCCCCTATTTTGAAAAGGTAATACAGTGAATAGTGTAAATGTCACATATTATATCCAGGGAGGTCAGAAATTGCACCCTGTAATCAAGTTCTTCTTTTTTTTTGTTAATCCTCACCCAAAAATATTTTTCCATTGATTTTTAGAGAGAGTGGAAGGGAAGGAGGGAGGGTGAAAGAGAGAAAGAGAGAAACATTGATTGTTGCTTCCTGCACATATACTCCCTAGGTCAGGGATTGAACTTGCAACCCTGCAACCTAGGTATGTGCCCTTGACTGGGAATTGAACCCACAACCCTTTGGTGCACAGACTGATGCTTTAACCACTGTGCCACACCAGCTAGGGCTCAAATTATTTTTTCAATGAAATGCAGGTATACACCAAATGTCTGCCTCACCACTGTTGACATTTGGGGCCAGGTCATTCTCTGTGGGGGGCCATCCTGGGCACTGTGGGTTGTTGAGCTGCATCACTGGCCCCTGTACACTTGATGCAGTAGCATTACTTCCAGTCCTAATGACCACATATGTCCCCAGATATCATCCATTGTCCCCCTGGGGAGCAGAATAACCTGCTCTAGAGGACTGATCAACCTGTGTATCCCCACAAAGCCTTTGGGCCTTGTTAATCTGCAGAGGGAGATAGTGGTCCTCTCCTGTCACTCATCCCCCACCCCCAATTACTCTGACCCTAATTCTGGATGTGAAGCAGATGCTTGGTATGGGTTTTTGTCCTCTTTGTATCCTGTGTAGGAGATGTCCTGGATATGGCAGTGCCCTGCTCCGTGGTGAACTACCTGAGATGGGACTTGAGTGCCCAACAGATAGGGCAGCTGACGGCCGAGCTCATGGAGCAGACCAAGCGTGTGTATGACCAGGTGGGCTCCCTGAAGTTTGAGGATGTGTCCTACGAGAGTACACTCAAGGCACTGGCTGATGTGGAGGTGTCCTACACAGGTAAGTCCAGGTCAGGATCCAGGTGTGGAGCTCCTGGACCCTTAATTGGGGTCATGCTACCCATACCCTGGGGTTGTGGTGGGTAAAGGTGCTGGCAAGAAAAAAGGTATCTGGTAGGTGTGGCTCATTCCCATGAGCACCCTGTTCCACTTGGCCATTGGTCCTCACAAGCGTGTCATCTGAGGGCCCATAGGGAATAACAGCACCCCCCCTCTGAGAGCCAGCTCAGGTGCCTGCCTTGAAACTGGAGCCCTTCTCACCTTTTTTCTTAGTTCCAGGGGGTATTTGTTTTCTTTCTGAGAATTGAACTTGGCCGCCTTGCTTTTCTTCTCCTCAAGGCCTCCCCCTGTACATTGGGTAACCTGATGCTGTCCCCCATCTGGCTTCTCTCCTCTTTGGGGTCTGTTTGCTTCCTTTGGGAGGAGTGAGGTGCTCAGTTAAATAGATACAACATCTACTTCCTGGAGTCCCCTCTGCAGAAGATGAGGGTATGGGTATAAAAGATAAAGGGAAGGGGGGCAAAAAGGGAGAAAATGGGAGACATTTGTAATACTGTCAACAATTAAAAAAAAAAAAGATCAAGGGAAGTCTTGAGGTGGAGCATCCTGAGCCAGGAAACCCCCTGACCCCAGAGGCTGGTCTCTCCTGGGCAGCCAGCATCAGGACCACCTAGAGCCCCACTGTTGAATACAAGTCAGCTGAGCCTGACTGGTGTGGCTCCGTGGGTGAGCATTGACCGATGCACCAAGAAGTTGCTGGTTTAATTCCTAGTCAGGGCACATGCTCAGGTTGCTGGCTTGATCCCTAGTAGGGGATGTGCAGGAGGCAGCTCATCAATGTATCTCCCTCATTGATGTTTCTATCTCTCTCTCCCTCTCCCTTCCTTAAAAATCAATAAAAAAAATATATATATCTATATATGTGTATGTATACACACACGCGCGCACACACACACACACACATATGTATAAAAATGTACAAGTCAACTGAACAGGTCAGTCCTTGTTCTGCCCTTAGAAGTCTTCATGGTGCCGAGAGATGCACCCAGACCTGGGACCTTTCATAGGCCCAGACCATGGAAGTGACCAAGCTGTGATTTGAATTCAGGACTCCCCAATGAGAAGTGTGTGCTTTTTTAAAAAACTACTCTTTTTTTTTTATCCTCACCTGAGGACATTTTTGCATTTATCTTCAGATAGAGTGGGAGGGAAAGAGGGAGGAAGAGAGAGAGAGAAACATCGATGTGAGAGAGACAAATCAACTGGGCACCCACACAACCCCAACTGGGCTGGGAACAAACTACAACCAAGGTATGTACCCTTAGTGGGAATCGAACCCAGGCCTCTCTGGTTCACAGGCCGACGCTCTAACCACTGAGCCAAACCGGCCAGGGCAAAACTACTCCTTTTTAAATTTTAATTAATTAATTAATTTTATTATTTTTCTAATCCTCACCCGAGGATATTTCTCCATTTATCTTCAGATAGAGTGGGAGAAAGGGAGGGAGGGAGGGAGGGAGAGAAAAAAACATTGATGTGAGAGACACATCGATTGATTGCCTCCTGCATGACTCTGACCAGGGCCGAGGACCAAACCACAACTGAGGTTCTTGCCCTTGACTGGAATTGAACTTGTGACTCTTTGGTCCACAGGCTGACACTCTAACTGCCGAGCCACACCAGCCAGGGTGACTACTCCTTTGTAAAAAAAAAAAAATATGTTTTTTCCCTGGCTGGTTTAGCTCAGTGGTAGAGTGTCGGCCCACAAACCAATGAGTCACAGTTTCCATCCTAGCCAAGGGCATGTACCTTGGTTTTAGTTCGTCCCTTGCCCTGGTCTGGGTCGTGCGAGAGGCAACCAGTCCATGTGTCCCTCTCACGTCATTGTTTCTCTCTCTCTCCCTTTCTCTCTCTCTTCCTCCCACTCTGTCTGAAGATAAATAGAAAAATATCCTCTGGGGAGGATTTGAAATATATTATGTATATATATGTTTTTCATTATTGATTTTAGAGAGGAAAGGAGAGGGAGAGAGAGAAACATTGATGTTACTGGCTGCTTCCTACACGCCCCCTACTGGGGATCAAGCCTAAAACCTGGGTATGTGCCTGGACCAGGAGTCGAACTGGTGACCTATCTGTGCATGGGATGACACTCAACCATCTGAGCCACACTAGCCAGTGCTTAACCCCTCTTTTGAGATATAATTCATGTACCATGCCATGTAATTTACCCATTTACAGCATGTATTCCAGTGGTTTTTAGTATATCTGCAGTGTTATTCAACTATCACCATTATTTAATTTTAGAATATTTTTGTCACTTGCAAAAGAAGCCCCTTCCTCCTCCTCCAGCAACCACGAATCCACTCTGTCTCTGTATTTGTCTGTTATGGATATTTCACATAAATGTCTGGCTTTTCTCTGGGTATCATATCCATTTATGTTGTAGTGAGTGTCAGTGCTTCAGTCCTTTTCATGGCTTAGTAATATTCCCCTGTGTGGATGGACCTCATTTTATATTTATTCATCTGTCAGTGGGCATTTGGGTTGTTTCCACTATGTGGTTATTATGAATCCTGCTGCTGTGAACATTTATGCACAGGTTACTGTGTGGACATGTTTTTTCTTTTTTTGTGGATGGACACCTAGGGATGGAATTGCTGAGTCACTTGGGTCTGTGTTAAAATTTATGCTGTTATAGTCACTCCCTTCTCTATTTAACAAAATGTGAATGTGTTCTGTAAATTATAAAATAATTTGTGAATTTAAAATAGAACTGTCACTACCTGGCCGGTGTGGCTCAGTGATTGAGCATCAATCCATGCACCAAGAGGTCACTGGTTCGATTCCCAGTCAGGGCACATGCCCAGGTTGTGGGCCCGATCCCCAGAGGGGGGGCATGCAGGAGGTAGCCAATTGATGTTCTCTCTCATAAATGTTTCTCTCTCTCTCTAACATCAATAAAGAAAAAAAAATATTTAAAAATAAATAAATAAAATAGAGCTATCAGGGCCCTGGTTGGGTAGCTCAATTGCTTAGAGAGTTATACCAATACGCCAGGGTTGCGGGTTCGATCCCTGGTCAAGGAACATACAAGAAGTAACTGGTGAATGTGTAGATAGGTGGAACGTTTCTTTATCTCTTTCTCTTTCCTCTGTAGAATCAATTAAAAAGAAAAAAATCAACCAATGAATACATAAATCAGAGGAACAACAAATCAATATCTTTTTCTCTCTCCCTCCCCCTTTCTTCTTTATCTCTCTAAAATCACTAAATAAGAAAAATAAATAGAATAGAGCCATCAGCAGCATTGGCTCTTTTTCTAGAGTGGAGTCCCTTCAGCTTCTCCTGGTCTTGTCATACTTCCTTGTTACAGCCCTCCTTGACTTAGAGTATCATGAGCTAAATCTGTTTCTGTTTGGACTGTGAGGTCTCCGACGACATGGGTGACAGTGCTTATTTCTCTTTCCCAGTACCTAGCCCAGGGCCCAATGTGGACAATGTTCATTGAACAAAAAAGGGATGAGTTGTGTATCTAGGGTATGAGGTTAGCACTTGCCAGTTTCCATCTGGGACCCATTTTCACAGTTGTCCTATTGTCTCCCTGTTTTAGTTCAGAGGAATATCCTTGACTTCCCCCAGCACGTTTCTCCATCCAAGGACATTCGGACAGCCAGCACAGAGGCAGACAAGAAGCTGTCTGAGTTTGATGTGGAGATGAGCATGAGGCAGGACGTGTACCAGAGGATCGTCTGGCTGCAGGTGAGGATGCTGCGAGGACACGGCACCAGGCAAATGGGAGGTGGAAAGCTGGGGGCACGCCCATCTCTCCACGGGCACCAGTAGGCTGACACCTCTTCCAACAGCACTGCCAGTGCTGTTGCTCCCCAGACTTTAAAAGGCAGAAAGCTGAAAAGAGTTTTGGGGATAGATGGTGGGAATAGCTGCACAGCTCTGTGAATGGACTTAATGCCACTGAACTATACACTTGAAAGCGGTTATGGTGGTAAAGTTTATGTCTATTTTGCCACAACTTAAAGATTCAGTAAAAAATTGCTCTGGCCAGTTTGGCTCAGCGGTTGGAGCGTCAGCCTGCAGTACAGAGAGACCCAGGTTCGGTTCCCGCTAAGGGCATGTACCTCGGTTGCAGTTTGTCCCTGGCCCTGGTTGGTCGTGCGGGTGGCAGCCACTCGATGTGTCCCTTCACATCGATATTTCTCTCTCTCTCTCTCTCTCTCTCTCTCTCTCCCTCCCGCTCTATCTGAACAAAAAATGGAAAAATGTCCTCAGGTGAGGATAAAAAAAAAAAGATTCAGTAAAAAATTGACAGATTTCCCTGGCTGGCATGCCTCAGTGGTTAGAGTGTTGGCCTGAACACCAGAGGGTCATGGGTTCAATTCCTGGTCAAGAGCACATACCTGGGTTGTAGGTTCGATGCCCAGCCTTAGTCAGGGTGTGTGTGGGAAGCAACCAGTCAATGGACACACCCATGTTTCTTCCTCCCTTCTTTCCGCCTCTTCCCCCTCCTCCTCCAACCCCACTCCCTTCCACTCTCTCTAAAAAAAAAACAACAATGGAAAAAATACCCACGGATGAGGATTAACAACAAAAATTAACAAATGGAGTGGAACAAAACAATGCAGTATGGAAAATTTAGGGCTCCTTACGCCTTTCCTGCATCCACCATGTTATTTCACTTTCCTGACCTTATTGGGTATTACTCAGCGATAATGTCCTGTCTTCCTTGTGAGGTGAGCAGGGTCAAGTGACAGGTGCTGGGTGACACAGCATGAGTATGGGTTCCATCTCCAGTCTGTGCTCCTCTCAGCAGGAATGGGAACCTTTGCTGCTGGTGACGGAGGGCTAGTAGAGGTGACTATGGATGCTCCTCATGTCGCTCATTTGTTCCCTTTGAATGTGCTGACACGTCAAACTCAGGATCAGGAAAACGCTCCTGTGTGCTTTGGTGTAGGTGCAGGCCTGGAGAAGCACAAGCTGTATTGTTTTTTAAAATTGAAATTCTTACTGAGACAATTGCAAGTTCAAATGCAGTTGTGAGAAATGATTCAAAGAGGTCTCATCTACACTTTTTCCCCAATGTAACATTTTGCAGAACCCAAGTCAGCCTCACAAGCAAGGCATTGCCCGCTCACCTTATTACTGTGGAAATGCTCGCTTGCTGCATGCCCTCTCGTCTGGTCTCAGTGTGTGCTTTGCCAGTAAGCAAGCATCTGGGTGCAGGTTCATTGTGGACTTATGGCTTCATTATCTGGGATAAATGCCCAGGAGGGCAGTTGCCAAATCATACGGTCATTGTATGGTTGTCTTTTCAAGAAACCACCAAACTGCTTTCCAGAGTGGCTGCTCTATTTTACCTAACTTCAGCAACATCTGAGTGAGCAGGTCTTTGTGCTGCCTCCCAGCCTTTGACACTGGCATGCTTTTTCACTGTAAACAGAACTTTGATTTTCTTATTCTAGGAAAAAGTTCAGAAGGACTCGCTGAAGCCAGAGGCAGTGCGGTACCTGGAGCGACTGATCAAGCTTGGCCGAAGGAATGGGCTCCACCTGCCAGAGGAAACTCAAGAAGTGAGTGCCGCCTCTGGGGGTGGGCTCATGCCTTTCTGTGCCCATCTGAGGGCCTAGCCTCTGGCCTGATGCCATCTTCTTCTGAACTCTGTGGTGGGAGATCTATCTAGAGCAGCTTTCTCTTTACATCGGCTCAGCTCTCAGTTCTCCAGGGTCATGGGGGACTTGCCCAGGGTCATAGGGCTCCCACAGCGAAGGAAAGAGTGCAGGCACCTCCCTGCATCCCACCTTATTCAGTTGTCCCCATGAGTTTGCTTTGATGGTATTAAGGAAAAACTCACTCCTCCTCTGTCTCCTTCTCCCTCAGTGGAGTGTTACAGCAGCTTCCCTGCTGACACCAGATGTGTGAGGATCCCACATAAGGAACTTTCTGACACCAACTGGGTGTCCTGCACTCTAACTCTGTTCTTACACTGTCTACCCAGAAAGGGCATCAGGTTCCAAGGTTCAGGGCTCAGCCCCACAGGACTGCCTCTACTTCAGACTCCAATCTCAAGTCTAAGTTGTTACCTGTGCTATAAATTGGATGTTCCCATGATCCTCTCTTTAGAGTCTAGTAGTTTCCTAAAGCGACTTGCAGAACTCAGAGAAATCCATTACTCACAAGATCACTGGTTTAGTGTAAATGGTTATAACTTGGGAATAGCAGATGGAAGAGATGCACAAGCTAAGGGAAGGAGAAGGGGCTTGGGGCTTCCATGGCCTCCCTGGGTACGCTTCTCTCCCCACATCTGCTTGTGTTCACCAACCCCAGAAGCTTTTTGAACCCCATCCTTTTGGCAGATTTTATTATATAAGATGATTGATTAAATCATTGGCTTTTGGGGACTTATTTCACCATCCAACCTCTAGACCCTCTCCCTTCCCAGAAAGTGGGGAATGAAGTGGGACTTAAATTTCTACCCATCCTGTGGTTCTGGGGCTTTTTGAAACTGAGCTCATTAACATAAACTCAGCTGTGGTTGCAACGGGCTCCTGTCACTTTTGTCCCCCTGGAGCTCTTTCTTTTTGTTTTTTGTTTTTCTTTATTGATTTTAGAGAGAGAGGAAGAGAGAGAGAGAGAGAGATAGAAACATGGATGAGAGAGAACATCCATTGGCCACCTCCTGCATGCCCCTGACTGGGGATTTGGCCCACACCCTGGGCATGTGCCCTGAACAGACACTGAACCGGTGACCTCTTGGTGCAGGGATTGGCGCTCAATCACTGAGCCACTGGCCAGGCGCCCCTGGAGCTCTTTCACTTGCCTTTTCACTTAGCATATTCCAAGGGTTTTAGGAGCCATGTGTCAGGAATGGGGCCAAGAACAAATACACATTTCTTTTTTTTTTTTTTTAATCCTCACCCGAGGACATTTTATTTTTTTTATTTTTTTTATCCTCACCAGAGGACATTGTTTTTCCATTTTTTGTTCAGATAGAGTGGGAGGGAGAGGAAGAGAGCAAGAGGGAGAAACATCAACATGAAAGGGACACATCGAGTGGCTGCCACCCGCACGACCAACCAGGGCCAGGGACAAACTGCAATCGAGGTACATGCCCTTAGTGAGAACCTGGGTCTCTCTGGACTGCAGGCCGATGCTCTAACTGCTGAGCCAAACCGGCCAGGGCACCCGAGGACATTTTTGCATTTATCTTCAGATAGAGCGGGAGGGAGAGAGGGGGGAAGAGAGAGAGAAACATTGACATGAGAGAGACACATTGAGTGGCCGCCACCCACATGACCCCAACCGGGACCGAGGACAAACTGCAATCGAGGTACATGCCCTTAGCGGGAATCGAACCTGGGTCTCTCTGGTCTGCGGGCCAACTCTAACTGCTGAGCCAAACCAGCCAGGGCACAAATACACATTTTTTATTGTGTCACAGTATCACAGAAGACAGGTGTCACCCTGTCTTTCATTTGGGAGCAGGCTGGGAGGGCGACACTGCTCCCAGTCCTGTGGTTGATAAGTGCGGTGTCTACTTTCACCCTCGACCCCTCTTCTTTCCCCATGCCAGGCAGCCCTGGGGTTTCCAACTGACTCACACCCTGGGCCCAGGCACTTCCTTTGTGTCCCAGCACCACTCCCTCACCCAGATGGGTCGATTTTTAACCATTTCTAAAAACCAGATGGAATCTGAAAGGACCAACATTGAACTCTGTTAGGATGTTCAAAAGCTTAGGCTACTGACTTGGGATAATTCTTTGAGGGTCCAGAAGGCTCTTGGCCTCACCCAAACAGATGAGGATACCCCTCGAGTCCTTGGATCACTAGGTTGTTCAGCACAGCAGACAGGTGCTTGTACTGAAAACCCCTTGTTTTCACTACCTCATCTGACTCTTCTCCTGTCGGGCGGAGTCCCAACCCTGTGGGTATCTTAATGTCAGTGCTCCCTTCCCTTATGGCTCTCTCTTCTTCAGAAAATCAAAGGCATCAAGAAGAGGCTGAGTCTCCTGTGCATTGACTTCAATAAGAACCTGAATGAGGACACGACCTTCCTGCCCTTTACTCGAGAGGAGCTGGGTACGTGGTAGGCTGTGTGAGGAAGGTAACCATGTTGACAGCCACAATCTCAGGGGCATGGTCTCAGGGAGACACTCCAGGGCCACTGTCTCCTCCCTCGGAGGCCTAGGCATTTGTCTGACCACACGGGCAAGGGGTTTTTTTTCACTTGGAACATTTGGTGTTTTGGAATCTAAGGTTCCAGATTTTTCCTTGGAGAGGACCATATTCTGTCTGTTGAGATCCTGACCCTGATGGGAGATGTCCTGAGGCAGTGGCAGGAGCTTGGGCGAGGATGTGGGAGCAGTGGGTAGCAGTCTCAGCCTTGCCTCTGAGTCATGTGGGATATCACCTCTGAGATTCACACCCCGCCCCTCTTTATTATTTTTATTTTTAAAAAATCTTACAAAATGAAGTGGATAGACTAAATCAGCGGTTCCCAAGCCTGGCTGTCCACAGGAACTTGGAAGGGTTGGAGCCTAGGCATCCTTTTAATTTTTACTCTTCTCTCTTTCCCTGAATGTTTTATTTTGAAAAGTTCCACCCCAATGGGAAAGTTGCGAGAATGGTGCTGGGGAAAGCCCAGTGCACTTCACCTATTCTCACCCTCTGCTAGTGTTCCTCTTCCCTCCTCCTCTGTTAATACCTGCACGTGTATTGTTTCTGAACATCTGAGTTACATGTTGGCTTCGTGACACTGCAGCAGGAATAGGGACCTTCTGCATCATCAGTATAGATCTCACACTCAGGAAACAGAACATCGAGCATGTCGTTGAGTGTGCAGATAGGTTTCCCCATGTCACCTCTCACCAAGAAGTTCTCTCTTTCCCATCTGGGATCCACTAAGTTTTGTGCCTTGTCAGGGTCAGGTTTGTTTCCTGTCAAAGTTCCTCTGCCTTTTAGAAATTTTTTTCTGTCTTTTCCAACATTGACAATTTTGAAAGTTAGGCCTGTGGCTGTGCTGCAGCCTGTGAGGGGCTCTGACAAGGCTTTGTATCCTAATCAGTTGTGGGTAGTACAATGTGGGGTCATATTATGTAAGATCTGGCTCTGTGAGCCTTTGTCTTGGAGGTAGCCAGGATACACCCTCGTTGAGGGTAGCTGTACTACACAGAGTGCCATGGACACACATTTTCCAGAACAAGTGCTTACAGACTGGTCACCGCTACATTCTGCCACCCCTTATACTCATTCAAACCCCCTGTGCCCCGGGCGGCAAGTTCCACTAAGTGGCTCTTGACATTTAAGGACAACTGCTGTGTTTCCTGGCCAAAGGAGAATCCCAGGTCTCTGGAATTCAGCAAAAGAATCTGCTCAACCTCACTGTCTATGGGACTGCTTTGCCATCTGTTTATCCAGCCTGAGGGCCTCACTGTGTCAGACTGGCCTCCTGTGTGAGCAGCTTGAATCCCCAGCACATGGAACAGATGCTTGTTCACCTGCCTGGCCTCAGAGACCAAGTCTTACTGGGCTGAGGGCGATGGCAGTGGCTGGGACATGTCTGGCCAGCCTGGTAGGGTCTGACCCTGTCTGCAGGTCTGGCTGAGCAAGCCTGTGGCACTTGTTTATTTATTTATTTTTTTGTGGTTGCAAAAGGATACTTGGTGTTGTTTTACAGAAATATAGACAACGTATCTCTCTATATATGTATCCTTTTTTTTTTAACCTCCTGAATCTTAATTACTTGATTAGGTGATTGTCTGCCAAGTGTTCTCATTGTAACATTACCAGTTTTTCCTTCATGATCAATAATTTCTTAAGAGAATCTTTGAGACCACTGCTCATCACATTTCCACCAACCAGTTGTGACTTTCTAACTCCATCATTCTTTGTATATTTATTATTTGGTTTTCTTATAAGTCAGAGCTTATCCTTTCTCCCACTTATTTATTGATTTATCTATATCAGTGTGGACTATACATCCTATTTTATTCAATGGGTTATAGTCTGTGGCTGTCATTATTTACGTTGATGCTCAGATTGTTCCAGTTTGACCTCAAGGGGCCTAGTCAAGCTTGCCATGTCTCTGTTAGTCTTTGAGCACCTTCTTTTTGACACAAGATGTTCTAGGCTCATTCCATTTGTTTTCTGTGAGGCAGGAGCCTTGAAGGTGCTCAGTCCAAGGGCACTACTGCACCCAGATCTTTCATGGAAAGATGGGTCAGGAGTGGGGGACCAGGTGGGAGGCTGTCGCAGCAGTGCAGGCCACTGGGATGCGGGGTTGTTGTCCAGTGGGGGCATAGTCAGGGCTTCCGGGTAGGTTCTGTTCATTGTGGTTCCATTTATTGAGAAAGGACATGGGGGAGACTACAGCCCAGGAATCCTACCCTGTCCAAGGGTCCAGCCGATTATAGCTTTTCTTCCCAAAGGGAATCTTGATGCATATAGTAGCAGATTTCTGAGGTGTGCAAGTCTTTGATGTCTTCACTTTGGAGTTCAGGGTGGGAGCTGAACAGCCAGAATCCCAGAGTGTGGAGAAGAGACCTGGCCTGGTGCTCCCTGCTGACTCCCATTCCTAGCCCACCCTTTTTGCCTTGACTGTGCACTGGTCTTTAAAAGCCCCTCTAGCCCTGGCCGGTTTGGCTCAGCGGTTAGAGCGTCAGCCTGCAGTCCTGAGAGACCCGGGTTTGGTTCCCGCTAAGGGCACGTACCTCGGTTGCAGTTTGTCCCCGGCCCTGGTTGGTTGTGCGGGTGGCAGCCACTCGATGTGTTCCTTTCACATCGATGTTTCTCTCTCTCTCTGTTCCTCTCCTTCCCTCCCACTCTACCTGAACAAAAAATGGAAAAATGTCCTCTGGTGAGGATAAAAATAAATAAATAAAAGCCCCTCTAATTTGGTTCATAGGAGGACTTCCTGAGGACTTCCTGAACTCTCTGGAAAAGACTGAGGATGAGAAATTCAAAGTCACCCTCAAGTACCCTCACTATTTTCCCCTCCTGAAGAAATGCCATGTACCTGAGACCCGAAGGAAGGTGGAAGAGGCCTTCAATTGTCGATGCAAGGAGGTGAGAAAGTGGTGCCAGGGTCCAGCTGCGGGGATCCACCCTCTGGGGTCTGTCCACACGAAACAGTCTTGTCTGGAACTTGGAGGTGCTGGCCTGTCCAGTCTGCTCAGTTGCCAGTGTGAGTTGCCTCAGTGGCTGTGCCTAAAAAGGGTTTCCCAGTGTCTGCTGGGCTGGGTCCAGTGACCGGGGAGGCCCTCAGTGAGCTTCGTGGTGCCTGGATATCACCCCACTGGGTCTGACTCTGTCCCCAGGGCCACACAGAGCAGAGGTTAGAGCATCTGTCCCAAGCTCATCCTGCTTTTGTCGTGTATCTGCTCCCACGTAAATCCTGATGGCTTCTTTTCTTCAGCTGTCTCCCACGCCCCGCCTAAGCTTCGGGTTGTTCTTTCATTGCCTGCACTCAAGGTTGGGTTTGCCCTCTGCTATTCAGCAGCTTGTGTGGGTTTGGGCCTTCTGGCTGTGACCTTGGCACTCAGACATCCATTCCCACATAGGCGCTTGTGTTTGTGTCCACATCACACTGTGGCTTCTGGGTGACTCCTAGTTAGCCTCTCGAGCAGATAAGGGTGATGAGAGGGGGCCCCTGCATCCTCCTTATGACACTACTGGTGTGCATGTGGCCAGTGACAGGTGCCACTGGCTGGAGGTCATAGGGTAACAGGAAGTGAACATGGTAGTCTTTTGTTCTCTGCTTTCTGGGACAGACCACTTTGGTCTGAAAATAACAGGGTTTCCACTGCAGAATCTGAGATGTAGCCCTAGAGGAGACAGTGCACACAGCGGTGGCCACTGACGGTTATAGAAATGTGAATGTCTTGTCCCAGAGCCGGAGTTCCAGTTCTGATGGGGGTGTGCTGCTTTATGCAGGTTAGCAGTGAATTTAGTTTTGAGAGTTTGAGCCGCAGGCTTGTTGGCTCCTCAGGATTGGATAGGGGTTGGCACCCCCTTGTCTTCATTCCCATCCTGGCTCCAGACTTGACCCAAGAGGCAGAGGGGGTGTGGGGCAGAGTTCCAGGCCCCAGGGGACATGTTATGCTGGTTGGCACTGTTGGCCACCAGCTTTGAGTCCCCCCCTCATGTGACTGGAAGCTCTCCACTCAACTTCCCAGTTGTAATTTGTTTTCCTGTGTGGACTGATCGTGCCACAGGAATGTTCTGTTCTGAATGGACTGCTGTATCTCCTTTGAAATGAATCAGACAGGTTTTGTTCTATGTTGGCCCCATGAGCTTGGTTGGCTGGTCAGCTGCTCAGAGGTGCTGGTAGGGACTCAGAGCAGCCTTGAGCCCTGGGCCAGTTCCTGATTGGTAGGGGTGCCCCAGTGCCCAGTGCCCCCTGGAGACCATCCTGGAGAGCCCTGGCCCCCACACTGCTTTCTAGTCGGCTTCAGAACCCTTTATGTTTCACACCCTTTGTTTCCAAAAAAGGACATGAGGGCTTATAGCTCATGTGCAGGGCAGAACCAAGTATGTAGAGATCCAGACCCAGGGCAAAAGGGAGGGAAAGCACACATTCCAGAGATGTGCCAAACAGGTGCCTGAGAAGCACTACAGTTACTAAGACCCATTAGGGGAATGGGGTGCTGGCCTGGGATCCCCACAAGGCAGGAGTAATGTCCATAGGCCTGCTTACTTCTTGGTTCCAGGAGAACTGTGCCATCCTCAGGGAGCTGGTGACCCTGCGGGCCCAGAAGTCTAGCCTGCTGGGCTTCAGCACACATGCCGACTACGTCCTAGAGATGAATATGGCCAAGACCAGCAAGGAGGTGGCCACTTTCCTAGGTAACCAGCCTTCCTCCACTTCCTATGTGCTGTGTGATGAGATGGTGCTTCTGAGAGCTTTGTTCTGTCCACCCTGAGGTGGGCATCCCGATGACTCCTCTGACCCCTGTATTTGACCTGAGGGATCCTAATCTAATGGCTGAGCATTGGGGCTCCATGGGGAGGCCTGCAACTGGTCCAGCTATGCCCTTGTGGGTGTGAGGCTCTGGACAAGTGACTCACATGTGACTCTTGTTTCCTCCTCATGAAAATTAAACCAGTGACCTCTCCTGGGGTTGCTGTGAGGTGACATGGCGCTGGCCTTGTCTCAGACCCATCCTTCCTATGTGGGGCACCAGGGCCCAGATGGCCAGGCAAAGCCAAGGCCAGCGTGTTGGGAATTGGCCATGGTGGGAGTAAGCACGTATGGCTTTGGTGTACCTGCTGCAGGGAGGTAGCCTTGCCTTTCCCCTCTGTACCCCCAGATGAGCTGGCCCAGAAATTGAAGCCCCTTGGGGAGCAGGAGCGGGCAGTGATCCTGGAGCTGAAGAAGACCGAGTGTGAGAAGCGTGGCCTGGACTTCGATGGGCAGATCAATGCCTGGGACATGCGCTACTACATGAACCAGGTGGAGGAGACATGCTACAGCGTGGACCAGAACCTGCTCAAGGAGTACTTCCCCATGCAGGTGGTCACCAGGGGGTTGCTAGGCATCTACCAGGAGCTGCTGGGGCTGACCTTCGACCTGGAGGAACATGCCACTGTTTGGCACGAAGATGTGAAGCTATACTCAGTGAGGGATGCGGCCTCAGGGACAGTCATTGGGAAATTCTACCTGGATCTCTATCCGCGGTGCGTGTGAGCTGGGGCAGGATAGGGGGCCAGGAATGTTCACATCATTTGGGGATGTGGGCGTTCACTCCTTTGCTGAGAGCATTTCAATGTGTCTAATAGCCTCAGCTGGCAGATGGGTTGATTGAGGGATGCAGGGCTAGGGAGTGGCAGAACTGGGGACCGGCCTGGGGTTGGTACCCCTCTGGGCCAGTCAGCAAGCGGAACAGACCCCCAGCCAGGCCTGACCCTGCCCCCCCCACCCCCCAGGGAAGGCAAGTACGGGCACGCAGCCTGCTTTGGCCTGCAGCCAGGCTGCCTGCAGCAGGATGGGAGCCGCCAGATCGCCATAGCAGCCATGGTGGCCAACTTCACCAAGCCCACCCCGGACGCCCCCTCCCTGCTGCAGCATGATGAGGTGGAGACCTACTTCCATGAGTTTGGGCATGTGATGCACCAGCTCTGCTCTCAGGTGGGCGCGGGGCCAGGGGCTGGCTGGGGCAGGGGGAGGGCAGTGGCGCCCTACCTGTGCCTGGTGGTTAGTGGGTGTGGAGGCAGTTTTCTCCGTTTTGGATATTACCATGGATGAGGTAATACCTTCTTGTATCTGTTTCCATCACAAAGCCCCACAGGCGTGGCTTAAACAACAGAAATGTGTGCTATCCTGGTGCTGGAGGCTAGAAGTCCAAGGTCAATGTGTTGGCAGGGTTGGTTTCTCTGAGGTCCTCTCTTTGGTGTGTAGATGCCATCTTTTTCACATGTCCTCACATGGTTGTCCCTCTGTGTGTCTGTGTCCTGATCTCCTCTTATAAAACACTGGTCCTATTGGATTAGGGCCCACTCTCATGACCTCATTTGATTACCTCTTAAAGATCCCATCTTCAAATATAGACACATTCTGTGGTTCTGGGGCTCAGGACTCCAATATATGAATTTTTAGGGGAGACATTCAGCCCGTAATAACTCTCAGAGAGCTATTAGAGAAGTGAATATAATATACATGTGTAACATGCTTAGAATGGTGTTCATGCCAGTCTCATCAACTGTTAGCTCACATTAAGAAACATTGCATAATCCCATGAAACCCACTGATGACAGCCAGAGCACAGGCTGTGGGACCCAGACACAGAGCCTGGCTCTGGATTCAGGGAACACGTTAAGTCCAGTGAAGAGGTCGTGGGCTGCTATTCCCTCTGGATGGAGATTCAGAAGCTTAAGAAATTAAAGCAACTTCCCCAAATAGGCCCTCAGTGGCAGGGACAGGACTCACCTGGGGATGTGGGGCCCCTAGCCTATTGTGGCCATGGGACCCCAGCTATACATAGGGAATTTGTTCTCTGGCCCCTCTCTCACACATGGTCAGCCCTTTCTCCTGATAGCAAAAATGTGCTTAGGGGCTATACGGGAGCATGTGGGAACTGGGGTTCAGTGATTTTTTGTTGTTGCAATTTTTATTAATTTAGTTTTGTTACAGATGTTTCTCCTTTTCCCCCTAGACACCCTCCTCCCGCCCTCCGCCCCCAGCATTGTTGTATATGTCCATTGGTTATGCATACATGCATATAAGTTCTTTGGTTTATCTCATCCCTTCCCCCAAACCCCCTTCTCTGAGGTTTGTCAGTCTGAACCTTACTCCTTTCTATGTCTCTGGGTCTGTTTTGTTCATCAGCTTATTTTGTTCATTATATTCCACAAATAATCAGTGATTTTTAGTTAATTCACTAAACTGTGCAGCCATCATCACTGTTCAGTTCTGGAACATTCCATCACCCCCAAAGATCCTCCCTGCCTCTTAGTTGTCACTCCCCACTCTATCCACCCCACCCCCCAGCCACTGGCAACCACTTTTCCATTCTCTTTCCCTGGATTTGCCTCTTCTGGACATTTCACATAAATGGAATCACACACTGCGTGGTTTTGTGTATTTGGCTTCATTGAGCACCATGTATTTAAGGTCCATCCACATTGTACCTTCCGTGCTTCACTCCTTTTTATGGTTAATATTCCAGTGTGTGGATGGACCACTTAGAAGTCTTTTGATGAGAAGTTTTTGACTTTGATGAAGTTCAGTCTATTTTATGGTTTGCACTTTTTTTGTGTCCTGTTGAAGAAATTGTTTCCTAACCTAAGGCACTAATATTTTCCCCTAATTTTTTTCAAGAAGTTTTATAGCTTTAGCTCTTCATTTTAGTCTGTCATCGATTGTGAGTTAAATGTCTGTGGTGTGAGGTAAGGTCTGCATACTCACTGCCAACAGCAACTCAGGGCAAAGGCAGTGTCTGTATAGCACCTGGGCTTTGTGCTCCCCCAGCTGCCTCTGACCACCTGGTCAGTTTTGTTCATGTCCCTCTCTGTGCATACACTCATGGATTCTTTCCTGTATCTGGAACATTCTTCTGCCAGTGACTGTCACAGTTCCATATCATTTTCTTAGGTCTTTTTTGATACACATAGTCGATTCTCATTATTTTAGCAGTTCTGTTTTATGAAGGCGCCACAAATACTAAGTTAGCAGGTACTGAACCACTGCTCCTGGGGAAATACAGAACTAGGTTCCTGGTCACAATATTTTCATTGACAGACCAATACCTTATATTATGTGTGTTTCTGTTTAAAGGCACCTTATGTAATGTACATTGATGCTTCACGTCTAATAGCACTGTAATTCATACCTGAATGAATCTCTTCTAACACATGGATTTTTTTCCTTAAGGCATGTCACAGCCTTCTTTCACTCAGGGTCATTAGCTAGCACCTCAGCACCACATTTGAACATTGAAATCACACACAAAATCAGAAATGGGCAAAAAAACAGAGCACACAATAGACTGAAAAGGACGTGTTACAGTCAGAGCTGAAACCAGAGGCAGAGTGTTGCATGACCATGAAAATGCTGTGGTGGTTGATTTGGGGGCTATAAATTTTAGTGAGCCACAGTTCACAAATACTGAATCTGTGAATAAGAATGACCGACCATGTGTTGTCTTCCGGATTCCCTATCTCACCTTGGGCCACGATAGCATTGCCTTAAATCACTCAGCAACTTGTTTGGCCCATTAGCTGCCATACCTGGGTTTTGGCTGCACTGGATCAAGTGCTATTTTTTAGGAAAAATTTCAGACACACAATAGTGGACAAAATACAGTGCACCTTCCAGTGTCTGTCATCAGATTCCACTGTTTTCAAGCCTCGGCCTTTCAGAGTACCGGCTTTTTGAGAGTGTTGGCTTCATGGGTGGGAGAGGGAATCTTGGTGACCAGCAGGGACATGTGTATTTTCTGCCTCCCTGTATGTCCCAGGCTGAGACAGGTCAGCCAGCAGCCACCCAGGGAAATTATTGTTCCTACCCTTGGCCAGGGGTCACAGTCTGGGGGAGGGAGGATGTTATTCACCTGCCAGGTGTGCTTAGGGTACTGCGTACCTGTGCACCCAGATGAGGCTAGGTGGACAGGAGCTGGCCAAGCGGAGTATGGCATTTCTGGGCTCTCTGCCCCCTCCCCACAGGCAGAGTTTGCCATGTTCAGCGGGACGCATGTGGAGCGTGACTTTGTGGAGGCACCTTCTCAGATGCTGGAGAACTGGGTGTGGGAGAAGGAGCCACTGCTCAGGATGTCACAGCACTACAGGACGGGTAGCGCCATCCCCCAGGAGCTGCTTGAGAAACTCATCAAGTCCCGGCAGGCCAACACAGGTGTGCCCCACCGCACCCCACCTCTGTGAGGCCCTGGCCAGTCCTGAGACCGCCCTGTCCTTCAGATCCTGAGGCCAGTGAAAAGAGGGAAGTCCTTGGTGCCCATGCTGCAGCCTGGGGCAAATCCCTGGGGATGCCCTCAGGGATTTCTGGACCGTCCTGACTAGAGAGTGCTGGGAAGAGCACAGTGCCAGCCTGCCATCTCCTTCTTCCTGACTAGGTCTCTTCAACCTGCGCCAGATTGTCCTGGCCAAGGTAGACCAGGCCCTGCACACACAGAAGGCTGCAGACCCAGCTGAGGAGTATGCCCGCCTCTGTCAGGAGATCCTTGGGGTTCCAGCCACACCAGGTAGCTGCTCGTGAGCCCTACCAGAAAAAACCTAGCACCACATGAAGGTAGTTGGGCCAGGTTATAGGTTTGTCTGACCGGAGAGAAACAGGCAGCCCATGGCCTCACTTCTGCTTTGCATTCTTAAGTTCTTGGCTCCATCTGTGGAGTCTGATGGGCAGTTGGTGTGGGTGGCTCCATCCTTCCTCACTGGCTATTTGTCGTTTCCATCTCCACAGCGCCTTCATGCGCTTTTTTGGGGCACCCTCCTGCACATTGCTTTATGAAAAGCCTGGGAGGTGCAGGAAAGATGAGTGATCTCATATCCTGGAGATGACAGTAGATAAGGTTTTCGTGTGTATCCTCCAAGTGCGTGTGTGTACTTGTACATATGCACTTATTGGCACACTCGATCAGTAAATGTATATGAACGTAATTGAGATTTAATGTAGGTAGTGTTGCATTGGTTTACTGTTTCATGAGCATTTTAAAAATCCTTCAAAAGTGTTTTAATTGCATGCTCTCTGTTGTGTGGGTGAGCCTTGACTTATCCCAGGGTCTCCCAACATTGAACCCTGGCTCTGTGGCAGCTAGTGGTGTTGAAAATGCTCCAGGTGAACTCTCAACACTTCAGCAGCTCCCAGGCAAAGGTTGATTGAGTTCTTCTGGCCGAATCACCTGGCCCCTGCTTTCTGGAAGTGTCAGGGCAGTTTCCTCCTTCTGGGTGGGGGGTGTTCTGATGTAGCTACTTTGAAGCCCCCTCTCATGAATGAGATCAGAGACTAAGGCAGGGTACAGCAATAATCTCATCTGTCTGCCCAGGAACCAACATGCCTGCAACCTTTGGCCACCTGGCAGGTGGCTACGACGCGCAGTACTACGGCTACCTGTGGAGTGAGGTGTACTCCATGGACATGTTCCACACACGCTTCAAGCAGGAGGGCGTCCTCAATGGCAAGGTGAGAGGAGGACTTGGAATGATGCTCCCCACTGCCTAGGATCAAGAACAGTTGTCCCTGGCCTCGGGCCTGAGTGCTCATGCAGTGAGCCTCTGCAGGGAAGGGTGCTGGGGCAGAGTTAAGCCCTCCCTTAGCCCTTCAGGGGCTCCACCTGAGACCCTCTGGGTCTGGGGGCTCGGCCAATTTTCCAGCCCATTGTTTAGTCACAGCAGAGGCTCAGCCACCCCTGCCCTGATGGACGGGGTTCCTACATACACACTCACACTCTCGCTCTGAGATCCTTGTCTGAGGTATCAGTGCATACCCCCTTGTGATGCTGATGTAGGGGCCCAAAGGCCCACTGGGAGTCGAGGAGGGATGCTTGAAGACCCTTGCACAGCCCCGCCCCTCCTTCCCTCTGCAGGTCGGCTTGGACTACAGAAACTGCATCCTGAAACCAGGCGGCTCTGAAGATGCCAGCAGCATGCTGAAGCTCTTCCTGGGTCGTGACCCCAAGCAGGATGCATTCCTCCTGAGCAAAGGCCTGCAGGTGGAGGATGGCGAGCTGCTAGCCTGCTGATGTGCCCAGGGGTCCTGCTAGCCCTTGGATGGGGGCTCTAGCTCCCACTGTCCTGGTGCCTTAGCTTCCAGACTGGAAACGGTGGGAGACAGTGGCCTCCAGCTCAGCATCCCAGGGAGGGTGGGGCAGGGTAAGAGAGGGGCCGTTCTGTTGGTCATTTCTCATAGCCAGTGTCCATGACCCCTACTCAGTGGCCAGCCTGGGCTGAAGAGAGATTGTCCTCAAGATGACTGGGGAGCGCTTGTGTCCAGTCAAGGCTTCCTCTTTGTTGCACTAATATAGCCCCTTCCTGGGAATTTATCTTAGGTAAGGGATGGGTTCCTCGAAATTCAGCCATTAAAAAAAGAGAGAGAGACTTCTGGCCTGTTCTCTGATGCTTGTCCTTTCTGCCATAGAATAGTGGAACATTGGTTTTCACACCTGTGATCGAATTCTGGTGTTCCCATTAAATCCTGAACTTGGCAATCAGCCCTTAGGCTGGGGACACAGACAGTTAAAAGCTGCTATCTTTGTACTGGAGTGTTTTGGTATGTTCTGGATTGTGACCCATGTGCGTCACTGGGAGACTGCTGACCTGTTGGAGTGACTGCACTTGGGGGGTTGGGGAGTGTGGAGCTGGGGTGCCAGGATTGCTTAATAAGAGGTGTTTTTTTTTTTTATCCTCACCCTAGGACATTTTTCTATTTTTTGTTCAGATAGAGTGGGAGGGGGAGAGAGAGAAAAACATTGACGTGAAAGGGACACATAAAGTGGCTGCCACCCGCACAACCCAGCCAGGGCCGGGGACAAACTGCAACCGAGATATGCGCCCCCAGCGGAACCGAACCAGGGTCTCTCTGGACCGCAGGCTGATGCTCCAACTGCTGAGCCAATCCGGCAAGGGCAATAAGAGGTGTTTTTCCTGCCAACCTTTCACCTAGCATGATTCTGAAAAATCCATCTGTCCCCATGCAGCACTGACTGATGTGGGGCTGAGGCTGCCTGCCTATACGCAGCAGCCACTGTCCGCCCTTGGCCTATGGTAAGTCCTGTACTGGACTTTTCTGGCTTGGTGGCCAAAGTATGTTTGATTGTGATTTGATGGGAGCTAGTTTCTGTTTAGGACACAGGTGCTGGAAGCCCAGCTGGTACCTTTCTTATCCACATGACCTTGAGGACTGAAGGCAGGTTTGGCCTGTCCTTGTCCTACTTGCCACTCAGTCCAGCTGTTAGTAACATGGCCAAGTCTGAACCACGAGGAAGGATAGACTTCCTGGGCTGTGGTAATTCTTCAGAAATGCCTTAGTGATGATTATGGTTGTGATAGGAATTTGGAAAGAGTTCTTCACCATTTAAGCAGGATGGGTGGGTGTTCCCCTTCATCTGGTCTGGACAGTCCATTTTCTTTCCTGGTATCGGGGGCCCTGCCTTCTACCATGCTGAATGGCTCCTTCCAGTTTTTACCACCCCATGCAAAGGGGACTAATCAGTGAGTGAGGGATCGGCAGTGCCCTGATCCTTCTCCCCAAGGCCCAGGTGGCCTCGTCTCAGTGGGGACAGCTGCCTGCCCCTCACCCACCTGCCTCACCAGCCCTGCTGTGGGCCTGGCTTGTGGGGTCCCCTTTATGCACACCCAGCTTAGAGCTTCCTGAGCCCATATCTGTATCTTAAACTCTGGGGCAAGGGGGCAAGTGTTCTCTTGGCTGGGCTTGTCCAGAACTGGTGGGCACCATGTGGCCAGGAGGGCTATGCCTAGAAGGTGGACATTACAGAGATCATGGCAGCTGTCACTTATGCTTAATAGACTTCCTGGGCTGTGGTAATTCTTCAGAAATGCCTTAGTGATGATTATGGTTGTGATAGGAATTTGGGGGTTGAAAAGGAAAAAAGACAAGACAGATCCCCCTAGGCTCCCATCCGGGTGCCTTCTGCTGGATAGAGGCCATGTGTATGTGTTGCAGGCGGGGGCGCTCCTCCTTCCTTCCCCTGCATTGAGCAGCCAGATGTCCATCACCTGGTCCCCGAGCAAAATTGAGTTGTCTTGCCCCTCCCCCAACTGCACTAGGCAGTCGCGGGGAGCCACAGATCTTATGGGTCCCTGAGTGGGCTGGTAGGAGTTGGGAGGTGATAAATTTTCTCAAAGGACCTGTCTACCCCCCAACCTCTGCTTTGGGCACCTGGTCTAGCTCAAGTGCCCCCCTCATACATCTCCAGGGGTTCGCACTGAGCTCCAGAACCCCCTCCCCTGGCCCCTGAAGGACTGCGGGCACTGAAGGACTCTGAGGTAGGGGCACAGATTTTGGGTCAGGGCCCCTTGCTCCATGGAGACTCATTCTCTGAGCCCCCAAAGGGCACAGGACCCCAGCTGGTTCCCTTGAGGAACCAGAACAGCTGAGGTCTCACCTAGGATACTCATGTTTCTCCCAGCCACTCTGGGGCCTGTAAATGACTGGCCCCCAAGACTGCACTGATGGCATTGATTGCAGGGATATGGCCCATGCCGGAAGCAGGAAATACAGCTGTTGCCCATTGCCCTGAAGCTGAGGGGGGGGGGGTGTCTTTAGGAGCTCCTGGCACTGTGCCAATGTCTCAGATCCCCAGCCTGTTTCTTCTAGGGTTCTGATGGCTCAGGGGACAGCCAGGAGTTAGTATCCCTGCCAATCTGGGTTATTATTTTCCTCTAATCCCCTGCTGCTCCCCCATGAAGGGAAAAAAGAAACATTTATTTTGTTTTGTTTTTTATCCTCACTGGAGGATATATTTTTTTGCATTTATCTTTAGATAGAGCAGGAGGGAGAGAAGAGGAAGAGAGAGAGAAACATCAACATGAGAGAGACACATCGATTGGTTTCCACCCGCACAAACCCAGCTGGGCCGGGGACAAACTGCAACTGAGGTACGTGCTCTTAGTGGGAATTGAACCCGGGACTCTTGTCCGCAGGTCGACACTCTAACCACTGAGCCAAACTGGACAGGGTGGAAAAAAAGAAACATTTAAAAAGCCCTGACCGCTGTGGCTCGGTTGGAGTATTATTCCTATACACCAAAGGGTCTCGGGTTTGATTCCCAATCAGAGCTCCTGGTTGCAGGTTTGATTCCCAACCCTAGTTTGAGTATATGTGTAAAGCAACTAATCAATGTTTCTCTCTCATGTTGACATTTCTCTTACATTGATGTCCTCCATACCTTCTAAAGTAGTCAATGAACATGCCCTTGGGTAAGGATTAACAAAAATAAAAGGACTGAGCTTTTGTGTTTGAGATGTTTGTAACATTTTTGTACATACTTGCTGGTTGGTTTTTTTGTTTGTTTGTTTTGTTAATCCTCATTGAAGGATATTTTTCCATTGGTTTTTTTTTTTTTTTTTTTTTTTATCCTCACCCGAGGATATTTTCCATTTTTTTGTACAGATAGAGTGGGAGGGAGAGAGAGAGGAAGGGAGAGAGAGAGAAACATCGACGTGAAGGGACACATCGAGTGGCTGCCACCCGCACAACCAACCAGGGCCGGGGACAAACTGCAACCGAAGTACGTGCCCTTAGCGGGAACCGAACCCGGGTCTCTCCGGACCGCAGGCCGACGCTCTAACCGCTGAGCCAAACCGGCCAGGGCTTTCCATTGGTTTTTAGATAGAGTGGAAGGGAGGGAGGGAGGGGGAGAGAAAGACAGAGAAACATAGATGTGAGAGAGACACATCTAGTGGTTGCCTCCTGAACACACCCCGACCTGGGTTAGGGGTCGAACCTGCAACCCAGGTACCTGCCCTTGACCAGGAATCAAACCTGTGACCCTTTGGTGCATGAGGTGGTGTTCTAACCACTGAGCAACACAGGCCAGGGCAAGAGTGGATTTGATGAAATGCAAGTGCAAAGGGGTTGGGGGCACCTGTGCAGACTCAGTGGATCTTCTACAACCTCCAGGGCAGCAATTTTCAACTGGTATGCCACAATTTTTAAGACATGTAATACCTGACTAATTAGTCAGGGGCACTGACCTCTTTCCCTTAGATTGTCAAATTAAAAAGGGACAGTAGCCAACACGACAATAGCCATTCAGTGTGAATGAATCAAAATTATATCTATTTTTTTGGTCAGACCAACAAAACAAATTTTTATGTGCCATAGAATTTTAGTAATTAGTTTATGTGTGCCATGAGATGAAAAAGTTGAAAATCACTGCTTCAGGGGGTTGGATACTAGGCTGCTGGCCTCATCTCTGCCCTGGTCCATGCAAGTCCTGCCTGCACCCAGGCCTTCATGTCCACTCTCAGCTTTGATCCTTCAGCAGGGTCTCTTCAGCCCTGTCACATTCAGGATGTTGGTAGCCTTGAACAGCTTCACTCTTCTCACCCCTAAAGGGGGCAGGCGATGGCAGTGGGACACTGTGGGACTCATAGCAGGTGTGCTAACAGTTGGGGTCTGCGTATGCTGTTTCATTCTCACCCTCCCTGTGGGATTGTCACCAGTGGGCCAGCTCAGGATCAGGGCCAGCATCCTTACAAGTGTCCTCATCCAGCAGTGCCTGCCAAAGCCAGCAACCTGGCAAGAGGTGGCCATGTAGGGCCTTCCTGGTGAAGACGGCTCTCTGTTCCTGGCACAAGCAAAGTTGTCTCATGAAACTTGAGTTTAATCCAGATGTTTTCAGATGGCGTGGGGCGGTTGGTCCAGCCTGATCTGGGCAGCAGGGGTTTGGGTTCAAGTCTCAAAGTGGACTGTTGGGTGAGTGGGGCCCTGAGGTTGGCTTCCAGCATGGGTTGGGGCCAGATGGGAGCCCGCATGGCTTCCTGGGGCACCGAGCTCATCTCGGCTGTGCAGGGTCACAGGCCAGTGCCATACTTGCATCCTCACATTCCAGTCTTCCTGTGGCACTCTGTCCAGCCCTCTGCAGCCCATGAGGCCAGGGGTCCACTTGTTCCACATGGAGATTACTTGCCCAGGGTAAGACAACCTCCTCGATGTTGACCATCTCCCCGGCCATCGAGTTCAGTTAGTTCATGGGTGGACAAATGGTGCGGTTCGGGCCAGTGCTGTTGGGCTTGTGACTTTAGTTGAAACTATTGGGGAAAATAAATTCTTTTTTCACTGGACTTGAAACTAGGTAAATATAGCTGTTGGGCAAACACAGCCACTCAAAGAGTGAGGCCAGCCAGCCCAGAGGAAACCAGAGCTGTGAGGGGGCCTCCTCAGGATGCCATCTGTGCACCTACTTGATCTAGGCCTCCAAATATCACAGTTAGGAGCCAGTTGAATTCTCTTTTCTGCTTAAGACAAACTGAGTGGTCCTGGCTGGTTTTGCTCAGTGGTTAGTGCGTTGGCCTATGCACCAAAGGGTCTCTGGTTTGATCGTCTGGGCAAGGGCACATATCTGGGTTGCAGGTTTGATCCCTGGTCCC